ATATCAATGAAGGATGGGCTTAAAACATTTTTAAGATTTACGTTTAAATTTATTTTTATTATTTTGAATTATATGTATGTGGATGTGTGTTGTGTGGGTATGTACACAGATGTGCAGGTACTCCTGGAGGCCAGAGGAGTTCGGTCCTCTAGAACTGGTTATAGGTGGTTGTGAGTCACTCAGTGTAGGTTCTGGGTATTGAACTCTTGACCTCTGGAAGAGCAATATGTACTCTAAACCACTGAGCCTTCTCTTTAGCCCCTCATTTGTTTTTTATTTTATGTGCATGAGTGTTTGCCTGTATGCATGCATGTATGTATGTATGTATGCATTCATGTATGCATGCATGTGTGTATGTATGTATGTATGTATGTATGTATGTATGTATGTATATACCATGTAAGTGCCTAGCACCCACAGATCCAGAAGAGGGTATCAGATTCCTGGAACAGCTGCCATATGTGCTGGGAACTGAACCTCCTTCCTCTGCAAGAATAGCAAGTGCTCTTAACTGTGGAGCTCTTTCTTTAGTGCTCTCACCATTGAAATACATTTTAATACACTAGCATAAATATAGTACCATATTAGTGTAAAATTCTATGAGGGTTCTGTGCTGTAGGTGAAGTAGAAATCACCTGTCGCCTGCACACCAGCAACCCTGAGACACCCACAGTACTGTGGAGTTATAGCTCATTATACTTCAACAGTAAAGATGAGATCACTAAAAACCAACCCAGGCTGAGGAGCAGGGTGCACTCATATAACCTGGGCGTTCCAGGCTGAGGGCTGGGTGCACACACACAACCTCAGCATCCCAGAGGTGAAGCAGAAGGGCTTTTATGAGTTAGAGGCCAGCCTGGGCCACATGAATTCAGACCAGGCTGGGTTGCAGAGTGAGTCCCTGTATCAACAAACCAAATAAAAAATTAACCCAAAAGAAGGCAGATAAAGTGGGAAAAGAAAATAAAAGAAAGAAGAAACAAAAAAATGAATAATAAGTTGAATAACCTGAACCTAATTCTGAAGCTAACCCCAATCCGTGTAAATAGGATAAGCTTCTCAGAAGTCAGAGACTGGATTAAAAAAGAGAGGGCAAAACCCAACTTTATACTGCCCATAAGAAACACACTTCAAATATAAAGTAGGAGGCAGATGCCCTTTTTCCTCATCACAGGAAAGCTGGCACAGTCTACAAATGTCAAAGCAGGCTTTGGAAAGCAGGGTATGTGGTTCAGCTGGTAATGTTCATGATCGGATTGCAGGAATCCCAAACTCAGTGCCCAGCATAGCACAGACCAGACATAAGCATGAACATTTGTAATCCCAGCACTTGGGAGGCAGAGGCAGGAGGCTCAGAAATTTAAGGTCATCTTCAGTTACATGGTGAGTTCCAGGCCAGCCTAGAAGACCCTAAGATGTACCATAGGAAATAACAAAACAAAATGATTCACGTACAAAGTGGACTTTAGAGCAATCACACTGCAGAGATGCCCTACCAAAAGGGTTAGTGCATCAAGGGCTCATCAGAATCCTAAATGGTTTTGTTGCTTTTGTGTTGGTTTCTGTTTTTTGTTGTATTTTATATGTTGTTTGTTTGGTTTTTTTTTTTTTCCAAGACAGGTTTCCCTGTCTAGCCTTGGCTGTTCTGGAACTCACTCTGTAGAGCAGATCAGGCTGGCCTTGACCTCTGGAGATCCACCTGCCTCTGCCTCTGGAGTGCTGGGATTAAAGAGGTGTGCCACTACTGCCTGGTTTAGAACCCTAAGTGTTTATGTGCTGGTAGGCAAGCCCACAACTTGACATTTCAGTAGTGTGTCCTCCCCTCTCCACCCCAATAATATGTAGATATGAGGCAGAAGATTCCCCAAGTAACTGGTCTAACCGGGATTGCAGAATACTCCAGCCGACAGCTGTAGAACAGAGCATATGGCATATCCTAGCAAAAGCCTGAGTGTGGAGATGATCAAAAGTTTACAAATGGACTTTATGGCCACCAGAACTGGACATAGGGGTCAAGCTTCCCAGGGAAGTGGCCATATCAGGCTGGGGGTGAAGCTGTAGCTGGTATGACTAGCTCTCTGAGGAGGTTTTACACCATCCTAACCCCCGCTCTACCCCTGACCTCCCAGCATAGGTCACGCAGGACACTTACTTGCAGAAACTGCCTTTGCTTCCTCAAGATGCTTCGAGGCCTCGGTGTTGTCTCTACATGGGGAGAGCGGTGATCTGAAGTGTCAGAAAACCACAGAGGTCTTTGTCATTGCCAGCACCTGAAACCTGAAGTTAGGGGTCACCCAATACTCCTCAACCCTGGGTGTGGGGGTGGCATCTGGCCTCAGCCTTGGCCTCACTTGGATCTGGTTGTCATTGTGTGGAGAGAGAATGTGCTCGGCTCTGGGCCACTACACATCTGCTGCTGTTTCTGTTTTGAAATCTCTTCTGGCCCTTGCTGGGCTGGGGGTTTCTCTATCCGCCTCTGTGAGGAAAGAAAGTCTGGTTTTGCAGAATGAGAGAAGATTCTACAGCCAGGCAGGCCAGGCTGGATCCCAGGATCAAGCAAGAGAAACATACAGGAGTTTGTATGTCACACACACCACAGCGCTCTGGGGTCCAACAGAGACCCTACTGCTCAGTGTCTAACAGGTCCTGAGCAAGTAGGAGACAAAGATATCTCCCTGTGACCCAGCTTTGGAACCAGCCATGGGTACCCTAGTGTGGGTATTCCTGGGACATAAGTGGCCAAAGCATTCAGTCTCTTCAAACAAGTCCATGTCCCCAGTTCATATGGGTCTGTGTTCCCTGAGACTGTTGATGCCTCTGTATATCTGCCTGGGGGTGGGCAGTGTGTGCCTGTTGGCTTTAGAAGGAACTTAGGCTGCATGGTAACCAGACCAATGTTTATAACCTCAAAAAAACTCTGTTCAGACTTTGCTATCAAGATTTCAATCCACTAAGCAATTGAATTGGTTCAATAATCCATTGTCTCCCACCCCTCATTACCCCATTACAACAGCATGTAATGTTTTCTTTTGATGGTTATATCCTGCTCTGTCCAATTTTTAAAACGGCAGGTAAGTTGCATTGCAAAATTCACTGCTAATCAGGTTCTGGTTCAATACTAAGCCATCCCCAACACAGAGACTGAGGGGTATGATGATACCTCACCATTATAAAATAAATCAGGGGAAAATGTGGGAAAACCCTTCTAATTAAAGGTTGAAGTCTACCATTGCCTGGATAGCCTTCTGGGCTCTGCGTAACACGGAGGAATCCTTTTACTGGCAGATTTTCCCCTTCTCTGACCATAACCCTACACGCCTCTACCTGCAGAATGTCACGTAGCCTTAGTTAGATTACAGGCTCAACTTTCTTTCTGCCTACAAGAACCTGTTCAGCTAGTGCCTGAGATTCCTGGATTGCTTCTCCATGCTAATGAGACATAGCACCACCTTAAGCCTTCAGCCAATGACCTTCGACCATCCTGGGTAGTCCTACCCCCTCCCCAAGTCCCCCAAAACTATATAACCCTTAAATCACCCCAAGTAAAATTAATCTGTCTCCCTGAAGCTGGTCCCAGTATGGGATCTTAGGTACTCACAGGGGTTCCAAACACTCTCCCACTGCCCCGCTCCCCCAGACCCCACTTTACCGCCGCCTGGCTCTGCTCCGTTTGCCCTCAGGGACCCATATCATCTGAGTATTCCCAGGGGCAGGGGTGTCACAGGTGGGGTAGAAGGAACACTGGGCACGGCTAGCACACCAGTTAGGGCCTCAGGAGGGGCAGCCTGCTGACCTTCAGCTGGTGTTTGAAGAGAAGTTCATCCAATACCATCTGCGTCTCCCACACCTCCTGCTCTGCTCGCTGCCGCAGAAGGGCCAATGCTTGCTCCTGCTTCTGCTGGTCCAGCTGTCATGAGAATCCATACCTCAGGGTTCACCTATGCCTTGCTGTCAATGGGCTATGAGGATCACCTTAATAGATCCCATGCCTAGTCAGACACTGTCCTCCTAAGCAGCCACCTACTCTTTCTCTCTATGACTTCTCTATCTGAGCAAAGGGGGTGGGGCTGCTTTTAAACCCTCAGTTCTATGTTATGGAGCCTTCTATCCAGCCTTGGGGACAGAGGCTGCTCACAGCTAATCTCCAAATAGAAGACACAGTTGTCACTGGCCTGGGATCATGCATGTGGTTAGACATACCTTTAGTGACTTGAGAAAGCTGAAAGATTTCAGCTGGAAATTGGTCAGGTGCCCATCATGCAGGCCTCCAGAATGTGGCCTCTCGGGCTCCTGCTGACCTGCAGACCACGGAGGAGGGCACCTGAGTGGCAGGTACACTTTGAGCCTCTCTCCTGGTTGAGCCTCAGCGCTTCTTGGCCTGCAAGGAAACTGAGACCAGAGGCCGGGAGGGAAAGCCCACGACGCAAGGACTGTGTTGGTGTCCAGCACGTCAAGAAGAGCCTCTTCCTTGCAACCTCAGGAGACCATGGCTACCATGTGGCTGTATTCCCTCCCTCACCCTTCTCATACCTCACTCTGGCTGCCTTTAAGTCCAGAAGCAAGAACTGAGTCAGCACAGATGACAGGAGGGACCAGGAAGACCCAGGTCCTAGTCTCAGGTCTGTCCTGCACTTTCTAGGAGACCCAGAACAATTCACTGGCCAATCAGAGTTTCTTCGGGAACATAGGTGCCCTGTGTGAGGCTCCCACCATGGCTTTACAAGGCCTGACAGGCAGAAGCCATGGTTGTTGCCAATGGTGCTTAGGTAAGTATGTGTTACAGACAGGAATCCAGAGTGCAACTTGGAATTCTGGGTTGTTTCAGACTATGTCCCTTGTAAGTTACAAAGTTCCCAAGGGTATCAAAGGGGGCTTCTCATCTTTCTGATGCCCCTCCAGTCTAAGGCTGAGGCAAGGCACCCTGTGGGTGTCCCTACCCTGTGGAGGCTGTGTTTCCCTCCTGACCTATCCTCTGTTTGACCCTAAGCCTCTTTTCTTCAGAGCTAGCTCACAGGGGAGGTTGCAGAGGATGCCTGGCTTGACCACTGTAGCTTGGACAAGAGGGCCTTCCTGACAGCCTTGACAGCCCTCAGTCACTGGGCAGTCATGACGTAGGGAGGGCCATGGACACAATCCCAGTCCTCTGCCCAGGGAGGACCATCTTCTCCAGCAGACAGTCAGTTACCACTGACAGAGAAGCTCAGCTTCTTAGAGTAGGGGCAGATGAGAAGCTGGGAGCAACAGCCACACAGTCCCTGGGCAGTGACAGAAGAAGACTGGGCAGGCAGCAGAGCATGACAGGGGGTGGCAGGACACACACTGAACACTTGGGTACTCTCCATGCTCCCCAGTATAACTGGGCAGAATTCTTGGATTGGCTGAGCTTTAGTTCCTTTTCACAAAAAGAGGCTTCACTGTTATGCTGGGCACTTGAGGGAAACTGAGGCCAGAGCAGATGTCCAGACTATGTCACTCTTCTATCCCCAAAGATTGAAGCCCAAAGCCTCTAAGCCATGTATCTGGGATGGGGGTAGCTCTTGGTCTTCTTGGCCATGTCGGCACCCCAACAGGTCAGAGAAACTACACGCCGCATGTCCCTGAGCATGACCCAGGGGAAAACAGTCCCCAGCTGAGATCACCCCCACAAGCAGAGAATGGCCCTGCCTTAATCCCTGACTCCTCTCAAAAGGCAATTAGGGAAGAACCCCAAGAATTCAGCACCACCTAGAGCCAGTTCTATGGGGACCCAGTGAGATGGCCTCATAAAGGCCCAGTAGCAGACAGTAGGAAGGACAATGACCATGGCAAGAGTGGTCAGTCACAGGCTGTAGTGCCTCTGCCCCCAGGGAGACCTATTGAGTGTGGGCGTAGAGCTCTGCTTTCAGAAAAGCAGCAAAAGGCACAGTGGGTGCTCACTTATCTTTGTATATTTAGAGGAGAAAAATGGGAACCCAAATTGGACCCCAAACCCTCACATTAAAAACAAGGCTGGGTGTCGTGGGATGCACTTGTAACCCAATGTTTCAGAGACGCAGAAAAGACAAGCATGGCCTTAAAAGTCAGCCAGTGTAGCCTATGTGGTGAGCTCCAGCCAGTGAAAGTCAAGGAACAGGGCAGGGGTCTGAGGAAGGTTACCCAAGGGTATTTTCTGGCCTCTACACATGAGTGCTCACATGTGAGCATGCACATTCTGTCTCTCTCTCTCTCTCTCTCTCTCTCTCTCCCTCTCTCTCTCCCAATCCCTCCCTCCCTCTCTCCTATCTATCTACACACACACACACACATATATATATGCACACTATATATATCCATATATGCACACTATATATATGCATATACATACATGTATACACACACATATAATCTACTCCACCCCATCACACTGACTACAGTTCTAGGTCTTTGCAGCCACACATGTCTGACGGCTATCACAATGTCCTTCACCAACAAACATGCTACTGAGCAGGGATGCCTAGGTGTTGGAGTCCTGAGAGTTCCACTGGACGTGGCTGCCTATAGTACTAATGGCTGGACTTGAAGGCCTCCCTCTCACTGCTGTCCCTGTGACCCACCAGCACGTTCTGCTCAGAGAACGGCAAATGAAGATGAGGGATAAAGACAAGGTAACCCCACCCCCGCCCCCCATGTAAGGAAAGAGCCAGACTCTTGAAGGAGATGGCCTTCCTGTTGTGATCAGAAATTTCTCTTGACTGTCACACAACATCAGACCCTGCCCCGTCAGTCTGGAGGAGGAGTATGTATAAACCGGCCAATGCTGGGCAGAGCCAAAGGATATTCTGGAAATCTCACTGATTCTAGACTACACTTTCAGGGGAGACATAGGGGTTTGCTGTGGCTTAAATGTTCCATCTCAAATTTATGTAGACATTTAGTAGTCATGGTAACAAAGTTAGAGGTAAGGCTTCTAAAGGGTGATTGGGCCACTAAAGCCAGGAAAGGAGTTATTATAAGGGAGAGAGGGGCTGGGTGGTTGTGAGTATAACTCATTAGGTGCTTGCTTTGAGTTCCATCTCTAGTACCCCATAAACTGGGTCTAATGGCCCATACCTGTAATCTCCCATCTCTTGGGTAATAGTAGGAGAATCAGAAGTTCAAGGTCATCTCTCACTACATAGTGGATTAAATAAAAGCTAGCCTGGGCTACATAAATTCCTGTCTCAAAAGAAAACAAATGAACACAAATGGGAGGATTTGGTTG